CATTTTCAGATTTTCGAAAGAAATCCACCAATAAGTAAGTGAAAAATTGCAAGGAAAAATTAAAAATTTAAAAACTAATTATTTTGCTCCTCATGCTACCTTTAGTCTCTAAGATATGAATACCATGAAAGGCAATGTTTTTCGGAAACGAAAATTTGTCCCAAAATTACCTTCAAATAAAATTTTGGACAGCCAATTCTGGATTACACTTTTTATACTTCAAAAGTAGATTATTAATAAATTGTGGGCACAAAAAACACACGCCAGCATCTATTTATTCCAAGTGCAGCTTTAATTGGTTCATATATACATGAGTTGCGCACCTTTGTAGCTGACAACTGAACAGCAGCAGCTATTCCAAGAGCTATTTATTGGGAAATGTATTGTAATTGACCAAAAATCTAGCAATGACTCCGAAATCTCACACATGTGCTATTCAGTCGTTCTTTAGTCGTCACGTAATCGAAACTTCCGGAGACTGTCCCATGAGCTCATGACTGTAGGAATGTTGTTGCCGGCGCAATAAAACAGCAGTAATATAATACGCTGCCTAATCTTGGGTTATTTACGACCCATGCCATGGGGCACGCTAGACGTCCTACTGGAGCATGCGGGTGGACCAGCTACTGCCTGTTGTGAGTGCGATTGCAAATGAAGCGAACTACCAACAAGGCTTGTAGTACAGATCAGGGTTGAACTATACCAACTAGTTCAACCATGGTAAAGATATTGTGTCCAAATGCTGACCGTTTGGTTTACTAAAATTCTTTTCCCATGAAATGAAAGTTTGCGCAAATGTACGAAAGTTTTTCCTGACTAAACATAAACTCAACACTCGAATTAAGTAAAGTGTTCCCTTATGGTAACTATGGACACCCAGACATTGGATACGGGGGTACAGTGGCCTAGTGACTTCCTCGTGTAAAAAAAATCAGTAAATATTTAACTGCAGTTGAGCCTGTCAAAATTTTATCGTTCAGACGGAAGACAGAGTACATCTGTTAATTCGTCACACTTGAAACATCAGCCGCGTTGTAAATTCTTAGTTTCAGTGCCGCGCAAAGATTTGGACAACCGACCGACTTTTTGCCAATTCTAATGGAAAGTTTAAATATTTTTCTCAAGTAATTATACTAGCATGTCATACAATGAAATTCTCCAATGCTAACCGATTCACTAGCCTTTATTTTATTATTTTTTATTCAAAATTTTTATGTGCGTTTATTAGAATAATTTTCATGTAAGGAGCCAAAAAAGTCCTGATTAATTAAGCCAATTTTAAATACATTTGAAACGGTTAGCGCTTCGTCGGCCATTAGCATCGATCGGCAATATTTTTAGCGTGTCTAATGGCCAGATAGCAAGTGCGACTCGCTATACTAGTACACCTAATTTATTTTTGTTAAAATTAATTTTAATCTAAAAGTTCTTTCATCATTTATAAGAATAGTTGTACAACGAACGTTATGATTGTGTGTGTGTGTTTATTATTCGAAATCATGAATGTTCGAAAGCATGAATACATATCTGGAACTTTTTTCCTGGTACAGATTTCTCGCATAAAAACTATATTCAACGCAAGAAGCATTATAAATTAATAATCAAATAATATCAACGCAAAAATTTCCAAAAAAATACTTGATGACACCATTTAAGGTTTTTAATGTAACGTGAGTTAAATTTTGTGTCGTTTATTTTAAGTTTACGTAATATTTTTTTACATTTTTAAAGCTTAATTGTTTACGATTGGGAAAAATTTGTTCGCCTGCCGTTTTCAAATTTTTGTAGTTTCCACTGGCCTGTTATTCAATGCTTGTCTTCCTTGGCTGTCAAGAACGCGATCAAACCGCACACTACTTCCTGGCGGCCGTGATCCTGAGAAGACCCTCTGATGAAGCGGCGCTGCGACCGAGCTGAAACAGACACTGGCCTTCAGTTAACAGAAAGCATAACATAACATAGTGATGTCGGCTCTGAAGTGTAGGCCTGATGTGGCCTGTCGCCGATTCTTTTCCATTTCGTGCCTTGTTCATAGATCTAAACTCGTGTCATTTGACCGGATCTTTTCATGACTGGCGATACTTTGAAGAAGCTACTAGACTTCCACCGGGTTCACCACACTAGACTTTTCAATCATTACTCTCTCGTTGCAACCATGTCTTCTCATACTGTAATCTTGCTGTTCATTGTTCTTCCCGAGGTGTAGTACTTTACACTTGTCAGCATTAAACCGCAGCTGCCACGTATCAGCCCAGTGGCAGAAATTGCTTCTTTTCCACTGCCAAATACGAGTTAACATGGATGTTTCTGATTGCATATTATATTTACATGATACGACGACCGCGCACATAAAAAAATTATTTTATACAAATACCCGGTACGTTTGAAGATGATCAGTTGCACAACTGCATTGGCTCTCGGTGTACCGTTTTTCTTACAGCGAACTGTTATCAATGGAAACAAATGGACTATCAGTTAAGACTCGGTAAAGCTTTTTTATTTCAATCTGAGATTCAGATTAGGATACTGTTTTTTTAATGGAAAGATCTTGACTTGACTCGCCTCAAGATATTCCCGTGGAACTGAAGAGGCTATATATAGGTAACCAGCATGTAGCACGGTTTCCTTGTAATAGATTAGGATAATTTTTTATTAAATAGTTACAATTTTCATTATGATGAACTGCTCTATCTACGAACTTTGTAATTTAAAGCAAATAACATTGATGGCGAGCTCAGCAAAACTATTGAGAAGTCATCGTGTGCTACGCATCTAGTTGATTCAGTTATTATAATAAAACAACGAGCTGTTTACCCCTCTGCCCATCATAAAAAAAAACTGAGATCGAGACTACACCGAATGCCCATATGAGAAACGAGGAGCGGCGCAGACTGATCTGTTTTTTACAAGCCTGTTAAGGCTAATGGCGGGCGACGCCTCTGTCTGTAGTCAGTAGGTTAAATGCGCAACGTTTGTTCACGACATCAAACAATGTCCTTCCGGCTGACTTTGCAATTTTTAATATAATAATCCTAAACGCAAACGTTAAAAATAATTCGTAGTACCAAAGACTCAGTGTCTCTCGTCTCGCGATCGATTTTAACTAGATTACAGTATATTGAACGCATGAAAGTTAATACGCCCTGAACACGAGCGCTGCGGTTCCTTTAATGGGATTGCTGTTGTTTTCGGGAGATCGATCCGGTGTTACACAATTCCTTCACGCACACGAGACGAATGTGTGCTGTGTGAGCGGGCGAAGACCGCATGCACTTCCTGTTGACTCACTCGTCCTGCTGTAAGGCGAAGCAGAGAACCGCGCTACACGACCAACCTAATTATTATGGCACTCCTAACTTGTCCTCGAGTTTTACGTGCTACCGAAAAACCGACGCAGGAAGTCGATATTCCTGCTGCAGTCCACAAAAACTTACTTTAGCTGCGTTTGATAACGCACTCAAACACTGCTGTAGTCACAATACTTACTTGTACGGCAATACTTCTTTTTATTGTATTGATTTGTATGATTAGTTTATACTTTATGAGCATTTTTGTGGTTGCGCCTCCTGAGCATTTCTGCATGGTGTATTCCCTGCTCAAAAATGAAATGATTCCAATGAGTTGCGCACCTATTCAGAATCAATTAATTTGATTATGAAATTTCATTTAAAAAGAAGCGATTATGAAAGGTATTTGTGCTGGAAATCAGCTCAAATGACAATTCTTAGATGACATTTTCCTGAAATTGATTCTCGATTAACAGAGTAGTTTCTGCTTGCATGCCAGTGGCGCCACTCGTCCCATTTTAGGAGGGTTTCAGCTGCCCTAAAATGCCCCGAAATAATTTTATTATTGCTTGCTATAATTATTCATATTTACAGATACGTGAATACGTATACGTATTTAATATTTACAGGTACGTAAATCGAATTAAAAATAATGTGGCCTGAATATAAGTTCGAATAAATAATAACACTACCAGTCATTTTTAACTTAAAAATTATCATAAAATTTTGACGGGCTTAAACCCCCCTTGTTCCTGAAGCCGAGTGACGCTCCTGAGGCATTCTAGGAAAATAAGGAATGTCTGGGGTACAAGTGAGTCTCAACTGTTTTATTTCTTGAACACACAAATTGGTTCGAAATTTTCATCTGATAAGTCATGGCTCCGGTAGAATTCTGCTGCTCTTGCCGATGCGTGCGTGAAAGACATGCCTAGTAGACTCGCGCGTACCATCCATGCAATTACTTAGTATTTTAAAGTTTTTGATAATTTTTCAGACAGGCATTACATATAAGCCTATATGTAGGTGCTTCTTATGCTGTATATCGTTATCGAAGTTTACCTCCAAATCAAACAATGCGTCCCAAGTTTTATCGCTGTTAAAAAAGTTCGTGTTGACAGCTGACATGACATTCCTGGTCACGATCCTTCATCCATGATTGGGCTGAGGCATCCTAGCCAGTGAGCCATGGTAGCAGCCGCTGGGAGCTTCTAATGCCAGAAGTAAACAACAACCGGATCACATTCGTTGGAGAGGGGTTTGGGGGAGAGGAGGAGAGGGCGTGGGATAATTATGAGCGAGAAAGGGGAGGGGGGCACCATTAGCGGTTGGTCTGCGGGAAGTTAGTGTGTGAACCATGCGCAGGTGGTTGATGTGAGCTTCTATATCGCCACCATGTGAGTAACGCATGTAACTGTGGCATTGCAATAAATTTTACATGGTAATATTCACTTCATCTTGAATAGAGTTATTGCTGACTATAAAATTATTCATCACATATGCTAACTATTTCAGAGTAGTATCATCATGGTATTTAACTATTATTTATTAAAACATGTGATATCATGCAAAGTATCAAGTATTATTAGTAAGAAATGAGATAAAGCCTTCTTCATTCATGCGTTTACAGCACCGGTTTTTCGAGCGCCAGATGCATCGTCGGGTGTGTAAGCAGTGCGCTCATTCACAGTTTTACCCAGGAACGACCGAGCGAAAAGTGATTCGCTTATCAGTGTGTCAGTCAGCATGGTGAAGTGAGGTCATGGCGTACGTTAACGTTGAGGAGTGGAGTTCGGATGAAGTTTCCAATTGGATGAAAGGTAATGGGAACTTTCTATGTTAACATCTTGGCAGTGTGTCTTTGTTTTTTCCTCTTGCAATCACTGGTGAGTTTATTTATGAATAATATAATACATTTTCAATCCACTTCCGCTTGAAGGAGCGCTCTCATCACAACTTCACAAGCAAGCTATCAGTATAACATGCTCTAGTCCAAACTTTGCCCTTCTTGCTCTTTTGAAAAGTAAAGTGATTTGTGATAGTTCAAAATTGAATTCGTATCCTAATTGTGTTAATTGTCTGCGCTGCATAAATACGAATTGAATCGAGCCTGTTGAGACTTGAGACTGAGAGAGCAAGGTAGCTGCCAGCCAGGTCTAGCAAAACGATTAGTATGTTGAAACTATGTTCACTGCTTGGAAAATGGGAACCGGAAGGATATTTTGATCAGGAGGCAGGAGGAAGTCAAACTCCAACTATATGAAAAGCCCAGTGTTAGTATTTTTAAATGAGCAAGATCTACCTCCATGCTTTGCCTTAAAGGCTTCAAACATATAGAATAGAATAGAATAGAATAGAAGTGTCGGCGCTGAAGAAATAGGCCCATGGCCTGTTGCCGATTCTTGAACTTTTCGTGACTTGATTCACAAGGGATCCGGCCTTTGTAACCCGATCTTTCCATAGCTGACGATTGATTGAGATAGCTGCTGGACTCATAGTGGCACACCAGAGATTTTTTAGAATCAGTTCATTTTTAATTTCCTCATTTACTCAATATTTAAACCAATTTCTTATGTATGATAATGCTGGTATCCATGATACTTTACCAGTCTACTTATAGGACTCAAAATTGAACTTGAGGGAGAGTCTAAAAAACTCTCTGCTTTGCCACTATGGCTGGACTTATTGCCTGGTCCGTAATTTGCTAGGCATTTTAAGACTGAACATATGCTCCTGCATAGCTTCGTCTAGTCTGTTTTTGAAGATGTTCATACTCGGAGCGTCAACGATGCTATCAGGTAGGCTGTTCCACATGTCGGTGACTCGAAGCGAGAAGAAATG